AACGTCTGATAGCTCCCACCTAATTATGGGTAGCCTATGCTGTTATAGTGGAGAGATTTGAATTAAATTTCCAAAAGGTTATTCAATTACAAAAACACTGCCTTCAACTAAAATACAAATAACTTTCTTTCGTTTTGTTCTTGAATTTAGCACATGAAATGGTGGAATGGCTCAGGAGCCTGGTAACGAAATAAGGAGCCTTTCACCACTTGATGACTGGCTTAAGTGTAGGTAACCTTGGTAGTGACTGGAAGCCATTACTGTGTGATGGATGTTTGGTGGTCTCAATCCAGTTCCACATCACAAAAACCACCATCACTGCAACTGACACGCTTGGCAGCCTCAGCAGGGAGGCCAAGAATGAAAAGGTATATGAGAAATTAACTAACTTCACATGCTTAGTGATGGGTTCCTCTATATCTTGATCAAAGCATGTTGTTAATTATTTCATGTCATAAGGTCTGGCCCTTTACAAAACAAACAAACAGAATCCCTGTCCCAAAGAGTTTACTGAGAGCTATTGACTTCATTGGGATTCTGCAAATGCCTGCATGGATCCAATTGCAGGACTGGTGCTGAAGTTAGGATATGGTCTATATAGGGAAATAGTGATTGGGTGGGGAAGACAAAGGTGAAGATCATATAGTCATGAGGTTGCTTGGGTAAATAGAACATGTGTCTTGAATTACACTGTGTTTTGGGTTCTTTATTAATGGAGGGGTGAGGGTGTCTGAGCAGACCCATTTTCAAGGGCAGGTGAGTGGGGGGAATTTGCATGGATAGTGCCTGTACTGTAGCTGTTCTGTAGCTTTTAGTCTAATGCCAATCAAGCACTTTCAATAAACATTCCCTGCCCCTGAGCACACTTTGAAGAAAATAAATACACCAGTGAAATGTTTGACAGGTATGCCAATGGCTAGAGGAAAACTTTTTAAATGGAATATTTTTTCAGAAAAATATAGCTTATTTGTATATTCTGTAATACTATTCCCTATCCCATTTTTGTTTGGAGGCTTTTGCTTTAAAATAACCTTTTTTTTTTTTTTTTTTTTTTTTTTTTTTAATCTGTCACTTAAGACTCGGCTATGGGGGGAGTTATTCTGAAAGAGGTGTCCCTGACTAACTCCCTGGGCAGATCCTCTTGTATTCAAGAATAAGAGTGCCTTGTTCTTGTTTGTCTTATTCCAAGTTAGCTTAATCTACATCCAAGGCAGGTTAAAATAATCTTATTCCTGAATAAAAGTGTGTCCACACGCCTATTCCTCTTTAAATTCATATCCTAATTTCATCCAAATTTATTTCCTAGAGTAGACAAACCCTTGGGTCCAAATCCTGCAAAAATTTATGCACATGCATAATTTTACTCAGTAGTAGTTTCACTTTAGTTCATGGGACTACTGCGGTCAGTCAAGTTATGTCTAATGTAAAAACTAAATTACTAATAAATAATATGTTCAATTCTACTATATCAGGACTGTAACTTGGAACTTTCTGATGCCTCAGAGGATTCTCATTTTAAGATGGACAAAATAAGCATCTATGCCAGATGAACCTATAGGAAACAAAATTGTGTTATGCAAATATCTTTCTTAAAAATTAACAAAAGAATGCCCCCCCCCTTCTCTGAAAGAGACAAAGTGGTCTCTAAACAGAATAATTTTCAAACATTTCCATGGAATGTTGGCAGATATTTATATTTGTGTTCTTTTTAAGCAGAGCAGAGATAAACATATGCTCTAGATGAAAAACAGGAGCTCTATGAAAAAGTAGTCTGTGCCTTTTTTTAGAAGAAACTGTGCATCCTTTTTCAATGGCTTCTCTCATTGGATGTGAAAACAGCCTCTCACTTGCCTCAGCAACCCCTGCAAGCTGTACCTGCCATAGGATAGTTCTTGCTTCCTTCATTCAGCAGTGATAGAGTTGTAACTAGTATGCAACTTTTTCACCTATTGAAGACCACTTTGTGTGTCCTCTGCCTTATTTTTCCTTTATAGCAGACATACTCACTACATCCGTCTACTAGCTAGGAAGGCAGGCAGCTTCCTATGAGGCAGGAGTATTATTTTTGGGGCAGCTGCTGCTAGATGTGAACTTGTCTATATTGGCACAGTGCTTGGCACAATCCACTAAATAAGTTGGCTGCAACCCTCTCAACAGTTTGATTAAAATGGCTTCTGCCAAACAAATTATTGCTTTTAAAGTAAGTATATAAAGGGGCTTTACAATATACATTGGACATGAAACTATACTGGGATAATTAGAGTATTTAATGACTAACTACATTTAAAAAAAATTCTTTTATGTCAATTTGGTCACTTTTAGTGGTAATCTGGATGTTAGAGAATGCAAATGTAACAAACAAGGTTATTAACATCAAACTGAGTGTTATGTTTAAAGTGGTAAATATCCAAATATTTGATTTGTTTTGAGTGTCCTGCACAATAAAACTATCTAAGCAATATTTTCTTTCCCATGTCTTATTTTAG